TGCTGTCTGAGAATGTGTCTTTCTGAACGCTAGGAATAAAGGAGATGTCAGAGCTGAAACTATCGGGGGGTCAGACATCAAAGAAAAGGTGTAGCTTGTGCATTAAGAACACAAGTTGATGAAGGATGCCGGCAGCCACATGCCGTCTCCCCAGTCTCTGCAGGGACAGTAAGCAGACTCAGCCTGTCACCATTGCACAGGGCGCGTGCTCCCCAGGGAAGGAGAGCAAGGGACAGGCATGGCCGAACGTGCACAGTGTGCATTATGGGAGACCCGTCCAGCGAGCCTGGCAAAAAAGCTCAGCCAGTTGGCTGCTCTTGTATCTCAGACCTACCATCTCCCCGAAGAGATGAGATCGTTCACCCAGTGAGCTGGCGGATGCATGCTTAACCTACTTAAAGCAAAGCTGAGTTTAAATACATCTTTTTAAAAATAGCATTTTTCCTGGCTCTAAAATGAATGCACCCCAAGTGTAGAAATACTGGAAAAGTCAGAAAAGTGTAAAGAAGAAAATTAAAGCCGCTTGGAATCTTGCCCCCCAGAGACTAGGGGGGACAACGTAAAGAAGTAATTTAGATCACGAGGTGTTGCTTACGTCCCCACCTTCTGGGGATTAACCGCCACTATTGACGTGTGTCCTGTATTCTTCTAGAAATGCACGCAGGAAGAAATAGCTTACATAAACGGGACCAAACGTGCGGTTTTCAAGCGTTCCCTCTTTATCATCAGTGTGACAAGAATGTCCAGAACTGTACCTCCATAGCATCATTTTAAGAGCTCCACAGTAAGGAATTTCTCCAATCATCAGAAACCTATTTAGTAAAATATATCTGTGCATTTGTTTAAAAGGGGAGAAAGTCTAGAAGAATATACACTTTTAATGAGAAGAGGGACTTGTTTTCTGCTTTGTACTCTTCTGAATTTTTTTCAAATAATCACACTCCTCAAAATAACCAGAGCTAATATTGTGCTGTATTGTTGTTGGTTTTTTTTAAGATTTTATTTATTTGAGAGAGAGAGAAAGCACAAGCAAGGGGAGAGGGAGAAGCAGGCTCCCCGCTGAGCAGGGAGCCTGACATGGGGCTCGATCCCAAGACCCCGGGATCGTGAGATCATGACCTGAGCCGAAGGCAGACGCTTAACCGACTGAGCTACCCAGGCACCCCTTGTGCTGTATTTCTTAACACTTTTAAAAAGAATATTTTAAAACATCATTAGAATCATGGTGTGTGTAGGGTTTTGCCTCCTGATTAAATCATCCGATGGAGTCCAGTGGACTTTTTTGGCTTTATCACAGATTGCTACATGATAGTTGTTCATGGGAGAGTGCTATGATTTTTGTGTATTGTTCCTGATTTTTCACATTGTAAGGCTGTGATGAACAGTTGTGCCCCTGAATTATTTTGTTTCCCCGTCTGAATACTCCTCAGGATGCATTCCTGGAAGGATGGTCACTGGGTCAGAGGTGTAAAATTTTTAAGGCTCTGGTTGCATATGAACAGACTGGTTTTAAGAATGTCTACTCCTTAATACTATCAAATAAGCTTTTGTTCATAATAAAATGGGTGCTGTAGATAGCTCTTATTGTCCTATTTAATTTTTTTTTTTTTAAGATTTTATTTATTTATTCATGAGAGACAGAGAGAGAGAGAGGCAGAGGGAGAAGCAGGCTCCCAAGGAGCAGGGAGCCCGATGCAGGACTCGATCCCAGGACCCTGGGACCATGACCTGAGCCGAAGGCAGACGCTTAACCATCTGAGCCACCCAGGCGCCCTGTCCTATTTAATTTTAAAGCAGAGCTTTTAGTTCTTTTCTTGAAATATTTTTGAAGAATTAATTACTAATGTTATATCTAAACATAAAAACCATGCCTATTTTTGGTCAGCATTTTTTCAGAATAATTTTTAAGGGTAACCAATCATCTTTAAGAAATTTTAAAACAAAGAAAAAATCATCCTAATAAGGCCTAATAAATAATAAATAAAGCCTAAGTAAATCTCCCTCCCTTTTCTATGAATTTCACATCGTTGGAATAAAAGTATATGTAGTTTTTTTTACAGCTTTTTTTATTTAGCAGAGTGTTGCAAGCATTTCTTCCCACATACTCTTCATAACGTTTTTTTAAAAAGACTTATTTATTTGACAGAGAGACACAGCGAGAGAGGGAACACAAGCAGGGGGAGGGGGAGAGGGAGAAGCAGGCTTCCCTCCACGCAGGGTGCCCAATGAGGGACTGGATCCCAGGACCCTGGGATCATGACCTGAGCCGAAGGCAGACGCTTAACGACTGAGCCACCCAGGCGCCCTGATAACTATCATTTTTAATGACCGTGAATTATTCCATTGACTTCACCTACCACAGTGTACTCAACATTCCCCTGTTGGACACTTAGGTGATTCCACATTTTTACTTTTATAGCACTGTGGTGAATGTGGACCATTTCCTTGGGTTTGAATCCCCCCCAGTGGATCGACTGGGTCTGAATTTAAATTGTTGTTCGTTCAGAATTTTCACACAGCTTCATACTGGCCTGTCTCCTAGCTTAGTCTTAATTCTTAAAGCTTTACTCCAACCACCTGGTGAAATTCAGGACGTTCCCGTTGGCAGGGCACCCACGAGGTGCTATGATGTCCTCGGGAACCAAAGTGGTCACATTGGCAAAGTGACCCTTTGGGGTCTGGATGTTTCAGACGCAGGAGCAGAGTAGAAAGACGGAGCACTTTCCCCGCACGCCCCGTTGGTAAACTCGAGGGAGCGCGCTGAGCTGCCGGGCACAGAAACTTCTCATTCCACAGCCTTCGCAAACGAGGAAAGAAAATCCACAGCAGCAGGGACCCGATCGTTAGGTAACCCCCTCCTATTTCTTCTTTTTTTCCCCGTTTCCTTTTGTGAGAACATCATCAGCCCAGGATGGAAAGGCATTTATGGTGTCTCCTTTGCTAAAGCAAACTCTGGCGACTTCATTTTCAGAAATGCAAAATTCGTGAAGTTCATAAATGCCTCTTTGTTGACCATGAGCCGTGTGGTTTGGCCCCCAGAGTTATCTCAGATAGCACAAATAAATCTGACGGCCTCTAGTTGTCTCAAACTGAGCATTACCTCCCTCCCCCGTTGTCCCCTCCTGCAGAAATTTCCTCTTGGCCTTCAGCTGCACAAACTCCGTCTTCTCATCAATATGCCCTGTTAACTGCTGCCAAACCTCCAGCAGTTGAGTGCATATGTTCCCTTAATCATTTCTCTTTGTTCTAGAAGTCTGTGTTGGTTTCTAAACCTCCCCCACCCCCTCTCCTAATTCCACCATCACCATCACTGGCTTATAGACACGACTGTCTACTGTCTACATGTTTATTTAAAGAACATCCTAGATGGCCTGCCGTTGAGAAGGGCTTTTGCAGTCTGCTCACAGCGTGCTAAATCATCCCCCGCCCTCTCCCCTAGAAAAGTGTGTTAGCTGCCACTCACAGCCTTCGGAGCCCAGGTGAGGGGCTGCCAGAACTTTCTGGAAAGCATGAGGCTCCAAGAAGACAGTGTTACCTGTCAGCACAGACAAAGATTCCTTCTCTGTTTTCCGCTGGTCCAACCCAAGAAAAGGACGCTTTATTCTTGGAGCCCACCAGTGTATAGGAACAGTCGGTCTCAATGGGTTATTCATGGTGTCCAAGAGAAATACTTCTGGAGCTATGATTCTTGTCCGATGAAAAGTGGGCTAGGCGGCCTGCTCGCTGGGAATGCCCTGTGCCTGTGGGACCCGCCGGCCCCCTCCTGACGTGGCCAGGCTCCTCTTAGCAAGCGAAGGGGTCTTCTGGGCTCCTTGTGACCACGGTCTGCACGTACCAGTGCCCAACTCTGTCGGCCAGTGTGCACAGGGAGGCACTGTGTTGTTGCTCTCTGCTTTTAAGTGTGTTTCTCCTCTTACCCTGTGTAGACCCCTCACCCCCTGCCCTGAGATCACCTGAAGAACCACCAGAGCGAGGGTTCAGGGCCCTTTCTCCTCGGCTCGGGGGGGTGCTATGGAACCCTGGAAACTGTAATTGGAAAGGTCCTACAAATACCATCTCTCCATCCTCCCTCCCCTGCCTCTTCCCTCCCCCAAAAGTATTTCAGAGAGTCCCCAGCAGCTGCACGGACAGTGGACCAACCCGATTTTGTCTCTGTTTAATAAATCCTACCATGAACCATGCCCACTCTGTACCTGGTCAGCAACTTCTGGGAATGCAGAGGAAAGCCTTCCTAACACGGAGTTAAAATATGTAGAAAGTAGCTGGGAGGAAATTCTCGGTGTGAGGGATTGTTTTCCACCCCCTTTCCTCTTCTGAAGGACAAAAAAAAAGGTTAATGTTGACTCATTTGGTGGAGATATAAGGCATTTTTCTGCCTATCCCCAAAGGGAAGTTTGCATTCTTTTAAATGAAACCATTTTAAAAGCAGAACTCAATCCTAAAATGATCCACGGTTCTCCGGACTTCTCAGAAGGTGTAGATTTATTTACTATAGTTAAAACATAATTAGTTCTCAGGGGATAGTGTATCTTTTAAACGGCTTTATTGCCACCATATTGGCTTTCTGAATAATCAGAAACTTCTGTTATGATTATGGTCTAGTGTTCGGACAGAAACGCACCGTAAGTAGAAACAAATGTCAGAAACTGCTAGTTGTCACTCGGAGTAAGGGACACCACATCAGAGGGGGAAGAAAGAATGTCCTGATAGGATATTCCAAAGAAATGGAATCAAACAACATCTTAAATGAACTAACAGCTCAGGCGGGCACCCCAACCCCAATCTTTTTTGATTCAATGGTGTTTTCTTTGTCTCTTCTCCTTCGTTATCACCACAGAGGCTGGGAATGGGGTCAGTATCCCTTGAAACCCGGGAAATGGCCCTTTTTCTTCCCCACACACCCCCGCAGATGAGTGCGAACAGGTCCTCCTTTCGTCTGAGCCGCAGGCTCTGCTCTCGTGTCCCTGTTCTGGCTGACCAGTCTTTCCCACCGTTTGCAGGTTGATGTTTGAGATCCCGCAGGAAATGGGGTTAATAGCCATCGCAGTCCGCCAAACGCAGGGCAAAGGTCAGTCATCTTTTGTTATCGTTTCTGTTGTTCTGTTCTCTAAAATCTGTGACTCTTGTGGCCCGGTTGCCCATTGATTGTGTGTGCTGATCACGGAGAAGACTCCCATTAGGAGTGCTTGTTTTCACACCCCCTAAAATGGAGGAAGAGGGAGGGAAATTGATCAGAAGACTGAGTCTTGGTAGAATTAAAGCTTTCTCTCGAGCGGAGATGGTTATTAATCACTGGACATTCGCTGGGGATGGTTTTAACATTCCGTCACCTACATCTTGTAAATTCTTTCTGACACATTCTAGGCATTGCAGTGTGTGAATCGTTACTGTGTTACAGAGACATTTATTTGCCCGAAGGTTCTCGGGGACGTGCCTTCTGGGTCCCTGTTGAGTGTCCCATGGAGAGCCCTTTCGTCTGCTAGCCTCCACCGCAGCCGCATCGGAAATTCCATGACCAGTGGTCAGTGCCCCTTCACAGAGTGACCACAGAGAAGCCAAGGGCTGATCCGAGCTTCCGCCACCTGCTGACCCCCAGACCCTCAGAAACGAGAGCCCGCATCCTCCCAGAATCCACTTGGGGTCCAACCGCAAGCAGACTCTGTGCTCAGTGGTCCCGCCGGAGGCACTCGGCCCCCGCCGGTGGCAGGCCAACCCAAACGTGCTTTTCACTCTCAGAGGCTCTTATGCCTTTCTCAGAAGGAGCAACGAAATAAGAAATCCACTGTTTTCCACTTCTTTCCTTTGAACACGTCTTTTGAACATAACTCAAAGAGAAAATTCATTTTACCCAAAGCTGGGGGTGGGGGGGCTCAATTCGGTGGTTAAAAAAAAAAAAAGAACATAGAAGAACTTGGATTATACCTCTCATTTTGAGCATTTTATTTTCTTGACTTCTATTTTAGGAAAAATAACCCCGAGGGTTAATATCAGGGATTACTTTTTAAAGTCTGCTTCCTTTTCCCCCCACCCCGTATAACAGTGAGATATAGTTCACAGACCATACAGTACCCCCAATTAAAGTATACAATTCTGGGGTTTTTAATATATTCACAGGGTTGTGGGACCATCACCACAATACGGGTCACTTCTACACTGTCGTGTCCAGGACCTCTCCTGGACCAGGACAGACCCGGCCCGGTTTCCCCACTGTCTCTGTTTTTGCCGGCATTACCAGATGGTGACAATTAAGCTGACAGTCATGTTCAGACCCTGTAGGTCTTTGAATCATCAAAGCATCAATGATCTGCTCACTGAGGCAGAACATTCAGCTACTTATCAGAAACTTGTTCAGCAACACAGTGCCAGACTTTAAAATGCTTCTCTGTTCTTGAGTTAACCCCAGAACCTCCAAGCATCTTCATCAGTGCAGGTTGATTGCACGTGGGGCTCTGAGTCCTGGGCCCATTTTTGGGTGCTGCATGCATCTGACTGTTCACGTGGCAGGGTGGCCACTTTCCTGATGGGGCCCTCTGTGTTCCAGGGCGGGGAGTGAACGCTTGGCTGAGCCCCATGGGATGCGCTGCGTCCACCCTGCTCATCTCCATCCCACTGAGATCCCAGCTGGGACAGAGGATCCCATTCGTCCAGCATTTGATGTCCCTGGCCGTGGTGGAGGCGGTGAGGTCCATCGCTGGGTACCAGGTATGTGCGATTTGCCCATCCGACAAACCCCACCCTGGGTGCGGATCTCAGTTGAGGTTGGTGTGTGGATGCATCTGAATGACCGTTGCGTGTAGAGTTTCAGGCTGCTCTTTGCAAAGTGGGCAGCAGAGTGCTCCTGGAGTTTTAAAAGCACTGTCAGCTCATAGCGTGGCTCCGGGGTCGCCGGGATGGGTTTATTTCCCAGAATTGCCTTTCTGTGCTGTTGCCAGATTACTCCAGCCTCTCCTTTCCCCCCCACCTTTAATTGAAGCACACTGGACTGACATACCACACTGTTGCGTTTTCTGGTGAAAAGGCTTATTGTATGGACCTAAACAACCTTCTCATTCCCTATCTTCACTTAGCACGGTCCCTGCTTAGCAGAACGAGCCTTGTCTGTGGCTGCCCAGGTTCAGCGTGCAGGCTCGTTTGGGGTGTCTGCTCCCCACTGTGGGGACAGAGGTGGCTGCTTCATCATTACCATCGGATGCTTCCGTGTCAGTTAGTAGGGAGACAAGAGGGTGATTAATGCAGTTTTCCTGGACGAATTCCATGGGTTCCTCCCCGGCCTCCCTCCTACCTACATTTCTTCTGTCAGGCCGAACACAATTATAGTATTAATTCATGAAGTGAGAGGCTAAGATCATGACTTTCAAAGGGGCCTGTCCTCGTGTTTAACAGGGAAGCAGTCCTCCCCTCCAATGTGGTCGTGTCCTCGTGGTCACCGTGTGTAGGACTGGGGTATGTGTTTCCCACATCACATCAAGTCCCTGGCACGCACACTGAAAGGTGACGTTTATGACCAGCGTTCAGCATCCTTGCGCTCTGTATCCCAAGGGCCTGGGCTCATCCGACTGTCACACATCTTCGCAGGTCAGCTTGCAGCCCCTGAACTAGACATTTTGCCTCATGGAGGGCAGTTGAGAAGATAAAGTTCTGTCGTGGGGGGAAATATTTTTAGCCCTAGTGGCAGGTTTGTTAGTCTTAGGAAAATAATTTAAAATTTACATCAGGATGGCTGGGTGGCTCAGCCAGTTAAGTGTCTGCCTTTTAAAAAAAATTAAAATTTACATCAAATGCCCTCCTTAGTGCCCATCACCCAATTACCCCATCCCCCTGCCAACCCCCCCTCCAGCTACCCTCAAGCACTGGGTGTTATATGCAACCGATGAATCACTAAATTCTACTCCTGAAACTAAGAATCTACTATATGTTAACTAAATTGAATTTAAATTTTTAAAAAAAGAACAATGCTAAGAAAAACATGCAAAAAATAGTATGAGTCAATTTCATGCAAACTATTATAAAACATTATTACCTTCTAAAAAAAGGAAGAACAATATTAAGAAAAACATGCAAAAAATAGTATGAGTCAATTTCATGCAAACTATTATAAAACATTATTACCTTCTAAAAAAAGGAAGAACAATATTAAGAAAAACATGCAAAAAATGGTATTAATCATTTCATGCAAACTCTTATAAAGCATTATTATCTTCTTTAAAAAAAATAAAATGATGGGACAGGGTGGGTTGGGGTAACTGGGTGATAGACATTAAGGAGGGCACACAATGTGGTGAGCACAGTGTGTTATATAAGACTGATGAATCACTGAACTCGACCTCTGAAAATAATAATACACTGTACGTTAATTAATTGAATTTAAATTTAAAAAAGGAAATTAAAAAATGGTAGGAAACAAGTAAAAAATAAAATAAATAAAATTTAAAATTTAAATTAATCTGTTTAGCTTTTTCTTGGCTTTGATTGTGACCTTGTAGCCTCGCTTGTTAACTGAGCGAGCATTCTCTGAGTGCCTGCTAGCCAGGAGGCCGTGCCAGGCACTGCGGGCAGCAGGATGTGAGGTGGGAAGCTCGCCCTGGAGCTGGGGCCGGGGGGTGGGGGGGGGCCCCGCACCTGATGGGCGTGTGTCCCTCCTTATCCTTAAGGAGCTCCCACCCAAGTTCCTGTCCTGTTTCTGCAATCGTGCAGCTCAGTCACACCTGTGTGATGTGACTTTGGCTTAGGGTTGGGCTTATTCTTGTTTTATTTTTAGTTTTACTGAGATAGAATTGACGGACCCCACTGTGTAAGTTTGAGGTGTGCAGCATGAGGACTTGGCATACATATATTGTGAACTGATTACCACAGTAAGTTAACCTCCTTCACCTCCTAGAGTCACCAGAAAACATTTTTCCCCTTGTGATGAGAACCTTTAAGATTTACTTTCTTAGGGGCGCCTGGGTGGCTCAGTTGGTTGGGCGACTGCTTTCAGCTCAGGGTCATGATCCTGGAGTCCCAGGATCAAGTTCCGCATTGGGCTCCCTGCTCAGCGGGGAGTCTGCTTCTCCCTCTGACCCAACCCCCTCTCATGTGCTCTCTCTCTCTCTCTCAAACAAATAAATAAATACAATCTTTAAAAAAAAAAAAAAGATACAGAGACAACGTCATAAAAAAATTAAAAAAAAAAAAGGTTTACTTTCTTAGTGTTTTTTAAAATTTTTTATTTAAATTCAACTTAATGAACATATTGTGTATTATTAGCTTCAGAGGTAGAATTTAGTGATTCATCAGTTGCCTACAACACCCAGTGCTCATTCCATCACGTGCCCTTCTTAATGCCCATCCCCCAGTTGCCCCTTTCCCCTTAGTGTTTCTTTTGAACAGAGCCATTTGACCTACACAGCACAGCTCCAGGATGGTTGGAATAGGCCCCAGTTGCATAGAGTTTGCCTTTCTCGCATCCTTGGCCAGATGTCCCTGTCAGCACACAGATCGTGCCCATCTCCCTGGACCAGAGGCGGTGTCCCAGGAATGCCCGCTATTCCTTCCAGAACCCTCGTTGCATTGCCTGCTGCTGTCCATCCCACTGTTCCTTCTGTCTCAGAGGTCCCTGCTGGGCGCCTGGAGCCCTCCATCCCCACATTCCTGCTTCTGCTCTCCTCCCCGCACCTGTAAGTTCTGTTTGCCCTGGGAGGCCCAGCTCCAGTGCCATTCCCAGAAACTTGTAGCTACAAACTCCCTCCTCTAACCTTTTGGCATTTTGAAGTTCTGAGCCGCTTTCATGGTTTCTCCCATGGGTCGCTTGGAAGCAGGGTTATTTGTCCTCCTGTACTATCTCCTATAAAGCAACCAGCTCCTTGAATGCACGGTTAGTTTTATGTTGGTCCCAAAGGGCCTAACCTGGTGCTTTATACCTGGGAGGCCTGCCACCGCAGCTGTTTGAATAAATCATTGAGATGGTGAAAAAGAAGCATGCAGCCTTTCTCTTCGTCTTGAAATAGAGGTCATTGTTTACCTGCACGAGAACACACGATTTCCTAACTGCAGCATTAACTAACTAGGTCTGAAAATGTGAAGTAAAACAAGAGCCCAGGGGCAAGGCCGGTGCAGAGGAAAGCGGCCACCCACATGCTGGGGGAGTAGTTTCCAGGCTTGGGCAGGGACTGTGCTGGGCACAAGGGGACCTGGGAGGGCAAGAGAGGACAAACAAGGGGACCTGGGAGAGTGACCAGAAATGTCTCCCGTATTGCCCAGTGTCCCCTGGGACAAGGTGGCAGAATGCCTCCTTGCTCCGGCCCCCATTGAGATCCCTGTTCTACAACAGAAAAAAATACGAAGCTCCCTCTCAGTTAGCGGTCAGGGCGCACACCCGCATCTTATTTATGCTTTTGTTCTTTGGTGCTTCTGCGTTTCTTCCCCTCACCATCGAGCGCTACATGCTAGGGCAGACGAGCTTCTGAAGAACAGAAACGCATTCTAACTGGCCACCATACAAAGAAGGCTTTGTCGGAGGGAAAGGAAGGGAATTCTTGGAAGCAGCAGGCTACATAGCATAGTGTTAAGCACCCAGGGGCCTTATGTCAGAAAGCCCCGGGTTCGAATCCCAGCTCTGCCGCTTCCGAGTATAACCTCAAGCAAGCCAGGCCATCTCTCTCTGCTTCAGTTTCTTCCTTGTTAAATAGAGGTGAATCTAGTACCCCCACGTGGGTTTGGTGTAAGTAACACACAGACCAGTGCTGAGATGGGGCTCGGAGCCGGGCGGGCCCTCAGCAACGGAAGAGCCAGCCCTGTGGGATCAGAGGCCATCTGCTCCGCTGCAGTCTTTTGGTTTATTCTGCCGAGTGTCTTTCTTCCAGATTCTCTTCCTCTACCCACACATGGCACCACCTGGCTGCCAGCCCCAGGCCCCGGAGGCTGGGCAGTTCCAGCACCCACTGAGTCTCACCCAGTCTCTGTGTCCCCGCTTAAGAATCACAGCAAGAGTTGGGGGTCTGGGAGGACCAGCTCAAGGCAGTGTCCGCCCTTGGACCATTCCACTGTGACCGTGACCAGGGGTCCCAGGCCGGGCTGCCCACGGTTTGCTTCTGGATGGAGAGGCAGTGAGCCGCTGAACAAATCTGTTTCTATTACCAGTTGACTGTTAGCAATTCTTTGAGGCCTTCGGTGATAATCCAGTGAACCGGGTTCCTTCTCTGTATCTCTCTAGGATTCTACTTGAGACATTTCTACCCACCTTTTGTGACAGTGGTAAATTTGGGGCATCTTTCTCTCTTGAGCATGAGCTCCTTAAGGAAAAAGAACCCTGAGCGTATTTTGGTCTCCCTGCCTCCCCCCAAACCCGCACACGGTAGGTACTCAGTGGGGGTGGCCATTGACACAGGGACCCCTTGGAGATGTTGAAGGTTTGGTTCCAGATCACCACAATAAAGTGAGTCAAAGGAGTTTTTGGTTTCCTGGTGCATATAAAAGTCATGTTTACACTACACTGTGGTCTATTAAGTGTGCAATAGCATTGTGTCTAAAAAAAACAATGTACATACCTTGATTAAAAGATACTTTATTGCCCAAAAATGCTAACCATCATTGGAGCCTTCAGCGAGTCATAATCACTGATCACAGATCACCATAACAAAGACTGGAAAAGTTTGAAATGTGACAATTAACAAAACGTGACACAGAGGCCCAAAGGGAGCAAATACCATTGGACAAATGGCACCGATAGACTTGCTCAACTCAGGGTTGCCACCGACCTTCAATTTGTAAGAAACACAGTGCCCATGAAGCACAATAAAGCAAAGCACAAGAAAACGTCTATGCCCGGCCTGGGATAATGAAGGGGTGTGGAGAGAATCCAGGATTTACACCAGATACGTTCTGTAGGTCTCTCTCCTGGCCCCAAGGTGATCCTTGACCACTGGATTGTCCCAAAGAAGGGATTAACCCTCAGAACAAGAAGCGAGGATGAGATCCCACGTTCCATTAGATTCGAGAGTATCTGGCTCATCTTCCTTTTAGCTGAATGACCTCTCCCGGCCCCTTTGTGTCCCGTGATTGCTTGATTAATGTGCAGATTTTCCTTTAGGATATCAACCTACGAGTGAAGTGGCCCAATGATATTTATTACAGTGACCTCATGAAGCTTGGTGGAGTTCTGGTTAACTCGACGCTTTTGGGAGAAACATTTTATATACTCATTGGTGAGTTGTGAAAGCCTTTCCTCCACATTTTTAGATGAATAAAAACGAAAATAAAAATGGTTTTTACATGGCTACCTTGAGGAGAGTGGATTATCATATGGGATTACTTTTTCTCTGAGCCTTGAGTTACAGAGCACAATATGTATGCAAAGCAGGCCGGGCTGGTTGAAAGCCCCTTGCAGAGGTTTAGCGTTCCTGTCTCTGGCCATGGAAACCACCGAATCGGTACCACAACAAACAGGTTTTTTATTGCACCTCTCCACACACTGGCTTCTTGTTGAATCAGAAATGGTGAAAATAAACATTTAATATGCCATTTTGTAATAAGGAAAGAAAGCCAATTGCAAGGATGGGGTTCCTGGTGCTCCTGCATTCTTAATTGGACCTTCCCAGGCCGTGAAAAAGTTATGTGAGGTTTTTTTGTTTTTTGACCTTCAGAAGAAGCTCCAGGCTGGTCAAGGTGGGGTGCAGAGTCCCATTTCCCCTCAGCACATCCGTATCAGGCAAGGAGACGGATTCAGAAACCATTTCAGAAGGTCTCAGGCTCCTGCTCATCTGAGCACCCGCTTCTCCCTAAGGCTCAGGAGAACTGAAGGTTCAGAAATGAGTAATGGGCAGAAAATGTGTGATGATGTGTCTGTGGGAAGGACCAGCCCAAAAGTGCAAAGCTTAAGTTTCCAGCTCTGCCACCAATGGGCAGTATTATTCTGAGTGAACTGCTTCGTAGCCTCCAAGCTCTTCTCATTTTTAAATGTGTTCACTAGGCTAGATGCACATATCCCGAAGTAGGGCCCAGAGATGTCAAGGAGGTCCAGGGATGGCTTCTGTCAGTATGGGGGAAGGAAACGTGGTCTTGTAGGTAGAATTCATGGCTTTTATTAAGTTCTTAAGGCCATAGGAGGTGATGGGGGGAGAGGGGGTGTCTTTGGGGAAAGAGTCAGGGTCCCCAACAGGGGTGCTCTCTGGTCCTTGGAAAGACATGGCCTGAGTTGGCAGTAGTCAGTGCTGCTGTTTCCCCAGGACTTTGAATTTTCTGAATATATGGGAGATTGGTCAGCACCATATGCACTTAATTGAATGCCTTACGCTCCATGCTGTGTGCATTGTTGAATGAACAAATGGACAACTGCTGATTCGTCCCTGTTGCTGTAGTTACTTGGGTTTTTTTTCCAGATGTAATTTACATTGCTTAGTATTTTAATAGCCAGTATATTAAAAAAAAAAAAATCTGAGGCCTATCAATCCTTCCCTTCACACTGAGAATGGCTTGGAACATTGACCAAAGAATACTGTTCTTGTAAATGTCATCATTCTATTGGAGGCGAGTACTTGGAGAAGTTTTTTCCTCGGAGGCACTGAAAACAAGAGCATCTCACTGCTTAGTTCTTGCAGTATTTCATTTCTTATTGAAGACCTCTTTGAGGTTGATTCAGGGCCCTGTTGAAAACTGAGGTTTGGCTTCTCGAAGGCTCTAGCTCTCTGGGAGAGGGTTGGTGGTATTAAGTAACGGCAGAGACAAGCCTGTTCAGACCCCACTGCTGGTACCTCCCGTTCCTGAAGCCCTGGGTTAGGAGCCTATAAAAGAGCCACTGAACACAGGTTGGCCCCTTGCCAGCAGCGTAACCCTAGCACCAAAGACTTCCAAGGATAACGTATTAAAAAGATGTGTTCTAGGGTTATGCCATGACCAAGGTTTGAAATCTCTGAATCCAGAGTTTACTCCTTAAGACCTGAGTGAAATTCTGTATTTTCAGGCATGTGTTTTTGTTATTCAAGTCGGAAAAGAAACAAGAGATTGTACTTTATATTGGGCTCAGTGCAGAGCTAGAGTTCTTGGCGAGACCACATGAAGTATTGTTTCAGAGGCCACTTGCAAGGAGCTTTGCCCCATTCAGAGCTTCTGTTTCATTAAATCGAATCTGGCTGGTTTTTTCCCCCCAACCCATCCGCAGCAAGGTTGGGGTGGACAAGGATAATCCTCGAACAAGGATGATAAAGGAATGATGAAAAGGAAGATGGTCCCAAAGACATAAGTCATTCATTTTTTTTTTATTTAAGATTTATTTATTTATTTGAGAGACAGAACGCTCGGGGCATAGGGAGAAGGAGAAAGAATGTTAAGCAGACACTGAGGGGCTCAATCTCACGACCCCGAGATCACGACCTGAGCTGAAACCAAGAGTCGGACGCTCAACCGACTGCACCACCCAGGCGCCCTGATAAGTCATTCTTTAAGTGGCCAGACATGATAAATTTGAAATGAGGGAAAGGAAGCAGGGAGTCGGGGATAAAGGCTGTAACTCCTTCCAGGTGCTTGGGAGGAGCATGCCATGCCATCAATAGGTTGAGCCGCTCATGTTTTTCAACTGTTTTTGTGCAGGCTGCGGATTTAACGTGAGTAACAGTAACCCTACCATCTGCATCAATGATCTCATCACAGAATACAATAAACAGCACAGGGCAGAGCTGAAGCCCTTAAGAACCGACAGTCTCATTGCCAGAACTGTGACCATGCTGGAGAAACTGATCGACACATTTCAGGACAAAGGGCCCAATGGCGTTCTTCCCCTTTATTATAAGTACTGGGTACACAGGTCAGTGCTGGCCTGTCTTCATTCTTTTAACGTGTCTTTAAGTGAGTAGTTCAGTATCTTAAAACAAGAAACTAAGCACAGGTCTAGGTGACTTTTTTTTTTTTTTTTTTAAGATTTATGTATTTTAGAGAGAGTGTGCAAGCAGGGGAAGGCACAGAGGGAGAGAGAGTCTCAAGCAGACTCCACACCGAGCACGGAGCTCAGCGTGGGGCTCGATCCCACGACCCCAACGTCAGGACCTGAGCTGACACCAAGAGTCGGATGTTTAACCGACTGTACCACTCAGGTGCCCCTAGATAATTATTTTTTACCTTTCTGATGGAGAAAACTGGTGTCCACCACGTTGAGCGAGTTACCATCAGCAATCCCAGGATGAACCAGCATCCCGTGCCTGCTGGTGGGATGCTGTGGGAAAGGACACAACCTCACCCGAGAGTTTTCCACGTGTCTGGTTTAAATGGAGCCTAACTCGAGGAAACAGACACATGTTAAATTGTAGAACATTCTAGATAACAACAGTTTTCAAAGTGAGATCCCCAGGGGGCGCGGGAGCACCCTCACCTGGGAACATGTTAGAAATGCACATTCTCAGGTTCCACCCTGGGCCTCCTAAATCAGAAACTCAGGCTGGCTGATCATTCGTGTTTTAACACGTGCTCTAGGGGCTCCTTGTGCACCCAGAGCTTGAGAAGCACTCTGGTGAATACCAGCAGGCCTCTAACGCATCAGAAATGTCCATGTCTTCAAACACAAAAAATAAAAAGAAGATTGGAGATTTGTTAGAGATTAAAGAGGCATGACAACCAAAAGCAAAATGTGATTCATAATTAGATCCTGGATGGGAGGAAATTGCCACAAACGATATTAATGGGACAATGGGGGAAATTTAAACATGAACTCTATACTAGATGTTATTATATGGAGATTAGATTTCTTTTTTTTTTTTTTTTAAGATTTTATTTATTTATCTGACAGCGAGAGACACAGTGAGAGAGGGAACACAGCAGGGGGGAGTGGGAGAGGGAGAAGCAGGCCTCCCGCCGAGCAGGGAGCCCGATGCGGGGCTCGATCCCAGGACCCTGGGATCATGACCTGAGCCGAAGGC